TAGCAGGGCGCTCTGGTGGCAGAGCGTTTACTAACTCATTCAGCTACTAACAACTGCAAGGTCAGCAGTTTGAAGTCACCAGCCACTCCTCGGGAGAAAGACGGTGCTTTCTATTGTTAAGATTTACCGTCTCAGAAACGCACAGGGTGTTTCTACCCTGTCCTACAGGGTCGCGATGAGTCAGAATTGACTCGATGGCGCTGAGTAAATTCTCAGCTGTATTGGTAGAAGCAGTGGAAGCCGTGATAGTCTTTCTATGTCAAATTGTTTTCACTGTATTTTTCTGGTGACCTCAGATGTTGCTTCACCCTTGCTTTTAAAGCTGACTACCCCAGAAACAAGGCCATGCTGAAAATATAGGTTTGGCCTCAGTTTGCTCTACTCGTGTTCTCCAGTGAAAGCACATGATTTCAAACAGAAAGCATGGATTTGAAATTTGGTGAAGTTTTACTTGACCTTTAGGTTCACTCATGACTGCTTTGTAAATACAATCATACACTGCTCTGTTCTTGAAATACGGATTTATTTATGGTTTGCTCAAACCACCTCTCCTAAACAAAATGAGAAATATATTTTAAGCAATCAACAAAAATTAACCAGAGCTTCCTTTCTTCCCAGGAACATGCTAGAAATATAATAAATACGATCATCTATACGCATGAAGAATGCACATGAGAGGAATGAAAGTGAGTTCGTACAATGGGATTATGTCTCTATTTCATGCTATGTTCTCATAATCCTTAGCAACACTGGGCATTTCAGAGAATTATTCTTGAGCCCCTGCTTGTACTGGTTGCTTAAGGGATTTACTAAATAGAAGGACTAAACACAGTAACCTGGGTTTGTCCAAAGTTTCTCTAAGGAGTTCCCTAAAAAGTTGCCCAAGTAGTTTGTCTACAAAGAGAAGAGAGGGTTGCAGGTTCTGAGATAGCTGAATGTGGCAGTCTTACTTGAATTCAGGTGGCTAATGTAGGAAAACTTAAGTAGCCATCCTTCTAAGGTCCTGAGTCCTAACAATGCCGCCCGGTGCTCACGCCAGAGGCTACAGACATGCCCTCTGGATGAGACACATTGGGAGCCACAGAGGACCCCTAGCACAGTGGCTCTCAACCTGTGGGCCATGACCCCTTTGGGCATTGAACAACCCTTTCACAGGGGTCGCCCGATTCATAACAGTAGCAAAATGACAGTTATGAAGTAGCAATGAAAATAATTGTAAGGTTAGGGGGTCACCACCACATGAACTGTATGAAAGGGTCTCGCATGAGGAAAGTTGAGAACCACTGAGTTAGAGAAAGATTTTCTCAAGAATGCACAGCTCTGCCCTCTTTCCATCGGGCCATTTCTCAGTGTTGTGTTTATAATTAGAACTTTTGATTTGAGGTCATCTCTCTCTGGCTTGCTTAAAACTTGCTATAAAACAGTGGGTTCCCCAAGCCTAGGATTTCTCTCCTGGAGCACCAGGCTCTGCTGATGCAGATGCCCGACGTGGGCCCAGCTGTGTCATTCCTGTGGAATCCAGGGGTCAGGCAACCAATGTGATGTGTTGATGCTCCAGTTACTGCTTGTGCTGAAAAGGCCTTTCATCTCTGACCCAGAGATCAAGTACCTTTGTTAGCATCCATCAAACGGTGGCAGGTCAACTTGTTAGCTGGCAAATAAGGTAACATCTCAGATGCCACATAATTCTTAACAGCATGACTTCATACAGAAATGGGATGCTTACCATTAGGCAACCCTGAGTACTGAAGGTACAACAAAGTGAATTTTCAATTGGAGTCAATGCTTCAGAGGTAAATAATTGACTATATAAATTTAAAATGTTCCTTCACTAGGTTAAACAGAAATCTGAGACTAAAAAAAAATAATTACAAGGAATTTTGAAATTTTAAAATTCCTTAAGTTGAATTTTAAAATCCAGACATTTACAATCAACTTTGATTATTTCTGGGCATTATAACAAAATTTGAGTAACATGATAAAATTTATGAAAATAAAATTTAGGGATTCCATAATATAAAACTAACAGGAAACGATGATTTACAACAAATTTTGACAAAAGTTTCCTTATTTAGTTTAGGTGTTACAACATAATTTCCTCTTTAATTACTTCTTAATAATATGGTAAATAATTCATTTCAAACTGTTTGCTTTTCAAACTCCAGCATCTGCTTTTGCTAAGGTAAACCTCTCCGCGACTTTTCACATTAAATCCTCAGGTTTGAAGTTAGAAATGATTTCTTTGAGACTTTGAAAGGGATAGAATAACAGTCTACACTTTTCTGAGCACCACTTGGCTGCTCATAGAGAATGCTATAGTCTGGATAAAGCCTCACTGACCTTGTTACAATGTGAATGGTTAGCATACCATGACATTTAAGTGATTACACCGCAGGATGTGGGAATCAGAAGGTTTTGGAATTAAGTAACATGGTTTCTCTTCCCCGGATCTGCCCAGAATTACTTTGAGTTTGAGAAAACACCCACCCCCCTTGTTCTTCATTTTTAAAATTGCCATTGTAAGAAAGGCTGCTCTCTCTACCTCAAGGCTCTGGCAAGGTTCCAAGTAATGAAAGCAGAGAAAGGGAGGACATGAGTACGAAAAAGAGAAAACTACAGTTTGCAAGGCTATCTATAAACTATGGGGTTTGTACTAGAAGCATTACATTATTGTAGCAACATATCCTAACCTATACTGTTTACTTTAGAAGCCACGTTCTTTGACTGGCAGATGGCCCGACTGTCTTGTAGAATCCGGATTTAATTGTGGTTGTTACATAATTTCATGTCGACTTGAAGATATATAAAAGTGTAGGGGTGGAGTCTAGCCTGTCAATCAGGTCACAGCCTGCTGATGCCTCCTTGTGAGTGTGGCCTTCTCATAAGGAGGATCCTGGGACCCTCCCCTCCCCTCTCTACCTTTACCTTCCTGCTACTGGACCCTGGTTGCTGTGAGCCCTATGATGCATCCACCACCATTGGATCCACACAACTTTGCATCCACCAGCCTGTGATCATCCTGCATTCTGCATCATTGCATGTGGCTGTATGAGTGAAGAGGGACTTAAGGACTAGTATCAGACTTATGGACTAGTATTGGACTTATGGACTTGATCTGGACTGGGCTGTGATGTTTGATTGATATAAAGCTCTCTCTTACATATATAAGACTGTCACTGAATTTGTTTCTCTAGTCAAACCAGCCCAATATAAATTTCAAGTTAAGAGGTCCCTTAAAGGAGTTCTGGAGGCATAATGGGTTATGTGGTTGGGCTGCCTACATCAAGGTCAGCAGTTCAAACCCACCAGCCACTCTTCAAGAGAAAGGTGAGGCTTTCTGCTCCTGTAAAAATTTAGAGCCTAAGAACCAAAAGGAGCAGTTCTAAGGGTCCTGTAGGGTCTCGATAAGTCAGAATTGAGTTGATGACAGTGAATTTAAAAGTCTCTTATTCAAAGATAGTTCTGTTAATGAAAAACAATAAACATTTGCCATCTACTTTACCCAAATCGTGCAATTATATGCTATTTCCTCTCTTAAGACAAAGGAATCACAACAAATGAACTGGCTATAAACATTTCAATGTATTTGCACTATAATTCGAGTAGTTTCATTAAAAATTTTACTATGAGCCCTTCTAAAAAAGCTTCCTATTAGTAAAGAATTTCAAAACTAATAACTTATTTTAATATATACCAAGACTTTACATTTACAGTGTTAGCAACTTAACTTTCCATTTCTTGATCCACTCCCTCTTACAGTGTCCATTTTAATAAGGAACATAAACATATGTTTATGTTCTAATAATGTTGTTTGAAGACAGAAAAATCCTTCAAATAACATCACCAGTCTCGTGTACTGAGACCCCTGGTGGCATCGTGGTTATGCGTTGGACTGCTAACTGCAAGGTCAGCAGTTTGAAACCTCCAGCTGCTCTTGGGGGAAAAGACAGGCCTTTCCACTCCTGTAAAGAGTTACCATCCCAGAAACTCACAGAGGATGTTCTGCCTGTCCTTGGGGGCTGCTCTCAGTCAGTATTGATACGACAGCAGTGAGTTTGGTTTTGGCTTTATACAGGGATATGATAATGGGAACATTTTCCACCATAACGTCTTTTCCAACAGGAGTCACCTGCTACAATCAGTATTAAATCAACTAGGAGAACAGTCCTCACACTGCAGGCCAGGAGGTGGCCTGCAGAAGCCTCTCCCTCTGGCTGACCTCAAAAGTCCAGACAAGGCAGGGTGGTCAGGCTGCAGCACCTGCTCATTGCATTATGGTTTACATGCAGAAGGCTTATTGTATTCACATCTTTCTACCTGATAATTGGGAGATGGTTAAGTACAAAGGAAAGATCTTTCGTAATGATTTCAAAGATTTTTTTCTATCTATATTAATACCTTAAAGATGTTTTGTGGTATCTGAGAGTGTCATTTTAATATTTTTATAGATGGAGAGAGGTTTTTCTATATACTTTATACCAAAAGAGACATCTGATTAACTATTGGTAGATATGACCTGTATTTAACTGTCCCAATTTACATGCAAATTTGACTTAAAGAGAGATTTAGGAATGGGACGTGTTTGCAATCTGGGGGAATGACGATAGTCTAAATTATATATCTATCTGTTTATTTATTTGAGATGAATTTATTTGTCACTAAAGACTCCAAGTCCATTTCTATTTTACCCCCCCCCACCTTTTTTATCTTCAATGCAATATATGGTTATCCCCTCCTTCCACTAGAAACACTACAATGTGGGCCCCAGGGTGGCCCGCAAGCAGAACACTGACATCGCTAGATGGAAATTTCCCCACAGGTGTTAAGTGTCAAAGCCTCGTCTCTTCCTTTTGAGAACCAAATAATGGTTGTGACAAACGCATTTAAAAGCTCTTCTTTGCTGCTATCCATTTGAAACTCAATGTGGAGTCTCCACCTGTGGAAGGCACAGGTCTCTCATTGGTCTGTCTTAAACGCCATCAACTTGACCTCATACTGACCTTGTTGGCACTATTGAAGAAATCATTTGCCTTTTTTAACCAGCTTTCCCTTTCCACCATAAGCTGACCAAGTTCTTCCTGGAGCCGGCTGAGTTTCTGGTTAGAAAGCTGTAGGTGCTCTTTGTCCGCATGGTCCTTTGAGAGCAGAATCCCAAGGGCTTCCCTCCTCAGCCTCTCAACAGCAGAATTCCATTCCTAGAAGAGATTGTGCTCTTTTAGTTTACCAGACACAACCCACCCTTAGCACCATCGAATAGGCTTTGGAAATCATTGAGGTAGGTTTCCTAACCAAACTCACTGCATTCAAGTCATGCTGACTCGGAGTGACCCTATGGGATAGAGCAGAACCACGCCTGTGGTTTCTGAGATTGTACATCTTTATGGGAGTAGAACGCTCCTCTTTTCCCCTGCTGAGCAGCTGGTAGTTTCGAACCGCCTACCTTTTGGCTAGCAGTCCACCATGCAACCTACTAATCTATAGGAAATCAGTCTTTATAGTTCAAACCATGAAGTAGTGGGTGCAGTGGTCACATGTCGGGCTGCTCACCTCACGGGCCGTCGTTTGAAACCACCACCCACTCTGTGGGAGAAACGGCGCATTCTATTCCCGTGAAGAGTGACAGTCTTAGAAACCCACGGGGACAGTTCTGTCCTGTCCTACAGGGTTGCTGGGAGTCAGAATGGACTCGATAGCAGAGAGTTTGGCTTTTCAGTTGGAGTAGCAAGATGCAGGGAAAACAGAAAGAGAATTTGAGACGTGGAGAAAAGCGTAGTGACCGTGACATTGGGAATCAGTGGGGAGGCGTGGGATGAGTGAAGAGGAAGCATTCAGCTGCCTAGAACCCGGGACACTTCCATTTCTGTTAACTTTGCCTGAAAGTTTGGTGTGTACCTGAAACAGCAATTTTCAGTTTCTGTTTGTCTGGGTTTTTTTGTTTGCTTATTTTGTTTTAATTAAGGATGAAAAATGAAGAAGTCTTCCCCATAGCTCAGTCTCACCATCAAGGTGGGAAAATATGCACAAGAAAGGAAGAAAACTCTCTCTCCTCGTCGTTGTTTTCGGGTCTGCCCCACGTGAAAGTGAAATAGAGACCTGTCAGGCTGCAGAATTAACAGCTGCTGCGGTGCAAGCCTCCCTCCTCCTGACCCTAAGCTCACCTCAGAGCGTCACTGGAACACGTTATAAATATTTTCAAAGAAAAAGAAAAGAAGTAACATTTCACTTTCCATTGCGTGAGATAAAAGCAGTAACTACAGAAAAGAGAAGCGCTAAAGGAAACCAAACATGTGAACACTCAATCTGAACAGGAACCTAAGCATTTCTTGCAAAAGGACTGAAACCAGATCCAGGTTTCCGATGATATCCCTGAGTGAATTGCAGCTGGCCCTGAGTGGTCATCACCCAGTGCAAACTCTCCTTTAAAGGTTGCATTTGTTGAACTATGTTATTTAGCGGAAGTATAATCTTAGTGCAATGTACCACTGCCGCGCCTATTCATTCATTTCACAAGACAAACAGAACTATAGGTGTGGCACTATGCTGGGGAAATGACTAAATGTACTTCTCTCCTCTAACAAGACATAAACTGCTGTTTTACATAAGTTTCATATATACTTACGCAAGTAAATGAGTAAATATACTTAAAGGTGTATGAATAAAAAGATATGGGTATACTGTGGAACTCTTTTAAGTAACCATCAATGGACATTGAAAGTAAAAATTGGACAAAATCTTTTCGGTTCTCCTTCGAACCTGTTCTACTACTGGTACAATAGACAACTATTCTAATCAGTGGATAAAAGAGAGAGGCAAGGGGATTAAAGGGCTGGCTTTTTTTTTTTAGTAGAGTTATAAACTTGTTGCTTATAAATGTAACCCTCAGATGAAGATTTATTACTACCACTATTATTGTGATGGTATTTACTTTGGCTCAGAAGAGCACATGGCCCACAGTTGCAGAGGTAGGAAGTGGCAGAAACAGAATGGGTTCACAGGTCTGGATGTTGGGCTGCATTTCAGGGTAAGAAAGCACCGTCCCCGGTGTCTCCACAAGACTCGTTGGGCACAGAAGGAATACTTCCAGGCACGCAGAGGAACGATGTGAGTTCTCAAAGTCCTTCATGCTCTTAAAAGACCGATAGAGTCCCATTTAGAGACAGCTAATAACTGCCATGAAGCTTTTTGAAAAAATGTCCTGCAAATATCCTTCCCATTGCTTTCATGGTATTGGGAAGTCAGCAAGCATATTTAACAGAGTTAATGGCGATGTCGCACACACGGACAGGCACCTACTGTGTGTCGGTCCTAGTTCCTTCCCAATAGTGCTTCCCAAGACTTGCTGGTATGAGAAAATGTGTTCTACACTTCATGGATATTCCTGTCCCCTAAAATAGCTATAGTGGCGCCTTTCCCAAAATGAGAAAGAAAAGTCTAGGCAGGTTTCTTAACTGTAGGCTTGCTCTGATTCCTTTATAGTAACGTGCCCAGAGGCTCTCCAAGGGGGTACATTGGTGTGAAAATATTGGTCACCGGGCAGCTATCTGTTTGCTAACCATTGCAGGGGGTTCATGCTCTATGGTGGGAAACACTGTCTTTGTTGCTCTCATCAGCTGGATTATCTAGTAGGCTACCTGCTTGCACCAATCTCTCTGCTTTTATTCTAATTTGCTTTTCTCTCCCTGCCTTCCAGGTCCTAGGTCTCCCTTCTCTTTCGGGCTCTTTTTCCCATGGGCACATTAGTCTTCAATTAACTCAGAGGAAAAGATGATTAATGAGTGAGGATACAGAATTCAAAAGAGCACTCCTTTCCAAAGAAACAAGCAACAGCATTGATCAGCAGCCCTGTGCTCGTTGGGGGATGGCGGTGAACATGGAGGCCCTGGGAAGGCCTAGGAACCTGTGGCCTGTGCCATCAGAAGTCAGTTCTTACAAGACACAAAGGATTTTTATTTGTTTCACATACAAGCTACCACTCTGTTAACTGCTTTACCTGTATTATCACATTTAGTTCTTACCATGCCCCAATGAGGTAAGGTTATTAATATCCTCATCTTACAAATGGGGTAGAGGGAGCCCAGAATGCAGAGATATTAAGAATTTGCCCAAGGTCTCAACTCTCATAAGCATGAAAGCCAGAAGTGGCACACAGGTAATTTGACCTGAGAACCTGCTCTCAGGCCCCAGCTCTTCAGGAAGGGATGCGCGTACTGTACTGTGACCCTCGCGGCACCTGTCGCTGCTGTGGTCAGTTGTAGCCGCGTTGGTCCTGACTCATGAAGATCTCATGTTTGCAGAGTCACGGGGCTTTTGAGGGAGACCTTTTAGAAGTGGATTGTCAGGCTTTTCTTAAGTGCCTTTGGGTTAGTTTGAACTGCCAACCTTTCAGCAAGTAGTCAAGCACTTAACCATCTGTACCACCCAGGGACTCCAGGGTTACAATCGCAAGTGTTGCGTTGCTTAGGTGAAATTTCTACCGAGCCAGGATAAAACCTTGGAGATGATAATAAGTCTCCTATGACCCTGAAACTATCTGATCTAAAAGCAGACGCCTCGCTGTTTCAAAATAAACACAATGCTGTTATAAATATATTTAAAATGTATAGCCAAATTTAAGCTTAAGATTGCTTATCTACTAAACCAAAATAACAACACTTCTCTAGGAAGAAGAGAAATACCTGTGTTCTCTAACCATGCTCATAAATCTGCCTTTAGTATAAATTTTGCAAACAACATTAAAGAGAGATTTTTGGAGTACAGCCAAGCCTTGAAAAACCTTCTTTAACCTTGTGCTTCTCATCATGCTATAAAAAGTGGGCTGTGGCCTTCCAATGAGACTGTAAAGGCCCACTTTTTGCTTCTTACCTTTTTTATTCTCCATCCCCTGTCTTCTTAATTACATTGGCACATGAACTCTGTGGGCATTAAATGAAGGTGGGTCTATTCAATATTTCTATTCAGTCTCCTCAGAAAATTGATTCTGTTTTCTCTGGGCAATCTATAGGCAGTTTCTGATGCATTTCTATATCATTCTGATGATGTGTTTCCACAGCTATTTTTCTTAGGGGATGTGTTCACAATTTTATGTTTCAGATCAAACTTTTTCCAGAGTCAACCGAATCCATCACACACACACACACACACACACACACACACACACACACACACACACACACGGGGGTACCTCCACCCTACCAAAATGGAATTTTTTTCAAAGCTATGTATTTAAATTTCTTTACAAAACAATCTTCTCAACTTCAAAGTACTCTCCATTACACTTAATACATTTGTCAAATCTGTGATTCCATTCTTGAAAACAGTTTTCAAACTCATTTGTTTGGATGGCTGACAGCACCTCCCTCGTATTTTTTATGCACCTCTCCTAAGCATCAAATCGCTGTCCTTTCAACTCCCTCTTCATTCGTGGATACAAAAAGAAGTTACACAGAGCCAGGTCAGGTGAGCTGGGTACCTGGGGTAAGAGAGGCATGCTGCTTTTTGCCCAAAACTGGAACACTGAGATGGATGCATGAGCAGGTGCACTGTTGTGGTGGCAAAAGCAGCCCCGTCTGCCACAAATCAGGCCTTTTCTGTCACACACTGCTACTTCATCTTTTCGGAACCTCTAAATAGAAAGCTTGATTAACAGTCTGACCTGATGGAACACACTCCAAATGCACTAACAGTCGACATTTTCATCTGTTTAGGAAGTTGATGGACATCCAGGACGAAGTTTATCATCAATTGACATTTCACCTTTTAAAACTAGAAAACCACTCATACACTTGAGTTTTCCCCTTGGTGTTGCCCTAGTAAGCTGTGTTCAACATCACGACCGTTTCTGCAGCATTTTTCCTGAGCAGGAAACAAAATTTCACAGCCACACGCTGTTTTCTTAAATTGGCCATCACAAAACACGAGGATTGAGGGGAACTGCTTTTATGAAGAAATTCACTGTGACCAGAGAGGGCCTCCTCAGGTGAAGCCACTGGGTGCACTAACTCAGCGAGTTGCCCTGCGTACCACAAAAGCCCCGCTCCGCCCAGCACAATTCCATTTTTGGGGGTACCCCCTTATATACAAATATATGTATACTATGAAATATATATGTATGTATACACACCTATATATGTACTACATATGACATATACAACTACATACCCCCTCAAATACATGTATGTGTATACTACTAAATATA